AAACGCTTACTAGAATGCGTTAACCCTCCAAACCTTGAGAAGTTTCATGACATTTTTGGCTACTTTTACATTTTTTAGCCACTGTGGGCTCATTTTTCACTGCAATATAAAGTCCTGCACCTCTATGGCAACCAGGAGTAGAAGCAAAGAGAACTTAGACGTGTCTTTTTGCAGTATAGCATAATCTCTAATGTCCTAAATCATTAAAAAGCAAAACCTTTTCTTTGATATTTTTTATTTTTCCCTGTCAAAAATTAACCTGCAATCAACATGTACAACATTTTTCTAAGTACTGACAGATGTAACTATGCTCTGCTTATCAAATATTTTTTTAAAACTACTTTTCAAACTTTTAAGTTGTTTCCAAACTGTCTCCTTTCCGCTCTGTATGAACACAGCCTGCAGTTCAGCCAAAAACTCACTGAATTTTTGCTGCATGACTGTTGGTTACAGATGCGTAACGAATGGCTTCTCTGTTGCACCAAGAATCACAGAATTTTTTGTCTTTTATAGAATCATTTTGTTGTAAACGCTTTATTTTCTGAATATTTTTTAACAAGACATGCAGAATAAAGTGCTTTTGATGAAATATCACTATTTTAAACCTAGATTTGGTTCGTTTTCCCAACAGAACTACAATGATAACTTCAACGATCATGAGAAAGTGTTTTTTTTTCTGTTTTTGTAGTTTCTGGTGCTTCTAATGGTACAATTTTGGTGATTTTTAAATCTTTTACATGTTATATCGCCTCGTATACAGCCCTTTGTGCTGACAGTTTGTGGACCAGTGACACAGTTGTTGCCAATCCTGGAAAATAAAAGGAGGACTCTACATATTATAGATATTTAACTGTTTACATTTGTATTACATTACATGTTTCCATACTTGTCTCCTCTCTGCTCTGTGCGAACACAGCCTGCAGTTCAACCAAAAAGTCGCTGAATTTTTGTCACAAGACTGTTGCTCACAACTGAGTCACTGATGGCTTCTCAGTTGTGCAAAAGATTGTAAAAACGTTGTTTTTTTACAGTACCGGTTAATGTAAATGGCATGTTATTGGTGATTTTGATCAAATTTAGCAATTTTAAGCGCTGAGATTTGGTTAATTTTCTCATGGAACTGCACGTCACAGATGATTAGTTCAAAGGAAATCTGATAACTCTTCTCTTACAAAAGGTGTAGTTTCATTAACATGCCTTTAAGATCCACCGGGGCTCGAAAGGTAAAAAAACAAATATGTTAAAGAAAACGCTTCATAAATAACAGCTTAACTAGCAGAAAAATAACTCCATTCTAGGCAGGAGACTTCTGTGAATTCAGCATATTTTGCAGATCTTTCTTTGTAACCAGCTCTTACTTCTTTGTGTTGATAGGGGCCCGACTGATGCTATCACTTCAAAAAATGCCAGAGTATCAGAATATCTGAACTTTTACCCCCACTGTCACATGCTCACCTTTGAGAACAGCTCTATCCTGGTAGCACCTGATTATCTCACAGCCTTCAAGGTGTCACTGCACACCAGCACCGTCTGCTTTTTGAAGCGTAAGTCCTCTTTCAAGAACTTTTATCAGACATAAAGTGTCACACTTAGTGCTTGAAGTGGACTGCCTCCAGACCGTGATAGAGAGCAAGACTCCATCGGGCTTGTAGCTTTATATGCAGGAGATAAGATAAGAGTATACAAGGAAACTCAGCTAATGCAGCTCGTGTTTAAGTGCAGACTCTTTCATGGCCCCGAAGACCTGGTTTTTCCATAATTATGGCTGTGAAAGCAGCAGCTCTCTGTGCGCTCTGCTGCAAAAAAAGAAAAAAAAAAAAAGCTGAGCTGGAGGTGGAGCTGAGCTGAGCTGCCCTCTGCACCGTAGCCTTTTGATCTCTGCTTGTGCCATGGATGAATTACGTTTCAGAATTTCACACTGGGGAACAGTGTTTCAGACACACAGCGAGTCTGTCAGGTCACTAAAGTGCACACATGGCAGTCTGAAAAAGGAAGAAGCACAGATGTTACAGTCTGTAGCCTCAAAATCTCTGTGATGTGTCACAAATAAAGAATTATAATTCATGGTTTGCCCTACGAGGCTTTAAAATTCTTGTCTTGTAGCTACGATTTCAAAAGTAATTCATCATACCCTCATATCCTTTTTGCTTTTTTTTTTTTTTTTGACCAATAATTTTCTTTGAGAATAATTCAACAGAGATGTGAATGAGCTCTGCATGATTTTGGTGCATCAGTAATTGGCTCATGTTCTACTTTCCTTTTTGTGCATCTCATAGCCCCTCTTTCAACTTCTTTGACATGGGAAGTTGTGACTAATATGCCAAAGCATTACAGTCAGTGGCCCGCTGGCTCCGGTCCATTTTCACATATCCCGGCTTCCTTCACATCGTCTGAGGATCGTGGAGTCTCCTCTGCTTCCTGTGCCCAGCAGGAGTGTATTTTTAGGAATCCTCAGGAAAACACTTGGTGTTGACCCTGGGATGACCCCCTGTCCAGTTCCAGGCCTGTGAGGAACTTCACAGCTTGGAATTAAGCCTGTTCTTGCAGTGTCAAGAATTCTCGTGGTCTTTGAGACTGGCAGTCCGTGCCGGCTGGAGGAGACAGCGCTACCTGACAGTCAGGCAGAGTTACACAACAGCAAAGAGCGAACGGAGATAAAAGCGGAGCAGCCACTATGAATAGGCAGCAGCTGGAGTTTTTTTTTTTTCTCGGCATGTCAGATTTAAGATATTTTGTGTCAAAAACTGTGCCACAGTCTGCAAGTCCAAGACATTTTTACCCACTGCAGGACGGCTTCAAACCGTAAATATTTCATAGTAAGAAGGAACAGTACCAATTATGCAAACAAGTGGTGTCTCCTGGGACCTGAGGTTTTGGCAAGTGTCACTGAGAATAGTTCGGCTCCAGTAGATGAGGTATTAAAGTTCCTGGCTGCCTGCTCGCCTAAGTGTTGCATCCTGGTGCACTGAACTCTGTATTTTGGCCTGAATCCCCCTGAGGGTTCAACGCAGTGATAGTACGGTGCAACAATATGCCTCCCAGATGGATGTGTTGGGAGTTCATGCTACATTGCAGGCTGATTGGTCACGGATGCAGAAGCTCCTCTCTTTGTGGTTACTCATATGCATCTGTACTTCCCTTCGTAAGTTACCCACAGGGAGCAGTAACTGGTGGACTGTAGAGCTGTGGTTTTGACCCTGAACCTGTTCTTATCCTGCTGGAAGAACATTTTCAGGAAACCAGCAGGCGGCTCATCCACCAGCCCACAGGCCTTTAACAGCAGGACGGCCTCAGATGCAAGTGAGCGGCCAAAGAGTTGTTCATTCACACGCTCGCACGGTCAGTTGTGCTGCAACCAAGAGTGACTGGAAACTAGTTAGGAAGTGCACAGAGAAGCTAAATTAGGGAGGAAGCAAACATCTCCATGTTGATCATTTGGTTGATGGCGGCTTCGCCGTCATGGTGGTAGTTTTGATACGCTTTGGACTCCATTTTGGCGTTTGTTGTACTTTTTCTTAACAAAACAAAAATAGAGTTTCATCAGTAGTGTTCAAGAATGTCCAGAATCTAGACTAGTTAGGGGGGTGGGGAGTGGGACAAAGGTAGTAGATAAATCGGTAAATCATATATATAATTAAAACGTAATGAGTATCCTGTTGATATGGGAAGTTGATCAGGATAAACAAGAGAGATGCTTAATGGACAGTTAAATTATCTTTTAAAAAATGCCTTAACATAGTGAACTAAAAGTAATGAAATTGTTGCAATAGCTATCAAATGTGGATCTAACTAGAGAACCAGTGGACACTACTCATGGCAATACAGTCCACCACAAGGTAGGCCTGCTCTCAAACACATCCCACTTTATTGTTTAATTACCTCTAAACGGGGCCATAATTTAGTAAATGGTCAACATTTTGTATTGAAGGAGACTTTAAACTCACAATTGACAACGTGAACTAATTAGGAAAATGTTTACTGAAGTAACAAATCAAGTGAGAAGTCGAGTCATTTTTCTCATAAACTTCTATACAATCAGATGTCTTTTTGCAACCACAGCAGTCGCCCCCTGCTGGCTGTTGGAGGACATGCAGGTTTGAGGCACTTTGACATTGGCTTCATTTTTCTGACCTGGGGACTATGTCCATCTTTTGTGGGATAAACAGCTGACGTAGCTACTTAAACAGTTCAAACAGTGACGTAAATATATGGATAAACCACATATTGTATGTAAAGATGGAAATCACTCATAGGTTTCCTGAACAGCGGTTTTAAAGCTCAGTCGTGGCTTCACCCATCACCAACTTGGCGGTTCCTGACTCCTTCTAACACCCAGCTAAGGGAAAAATGAGCAGACTGTCTGTGACGGCACTCAAAGCAGCCCTGCCTTTATTTATGCAGAGCTTTATTCCTGAGTACAATTTAAACAGGTGACTTCTGTAGAAAAAAATTGTCCTCCTGTACGTTTGCCCTCAACAGGGAAATTAGTTATAGAGATCAAAATCATTTTTGCACAAGGCTGCAAACATGTTTATTTCTGCTATAGTTGGACATTTTAACATGGGAGTCTATCAGGACTGACTCACGTTCAGCGCCAGCCTCTTGTGGCCATTTGAGGAACTGCACTGGCTTTTTCTTTCAACTCAGGAGTTTGCTGCTTGGAATAAACAGCGAAAATTAGTTAACTAAATACAATGAAAAACTGTCTTAATATAGCTAGTTTAAAGATGTGTAAACTGCAGAAACAACTACAAAGAAGTGATGCATAGATAGTTACGTGGATTTAAAAATAAAAGCTGGTAGAACAGTTTAGAGAGATTAAAGTAAACTGTTGAAATAGCTAACTGCATGGATAAACAGCTGGCATAACTAAGTAAACTGTTGAAATAGTGAGATAAACTAGTGGTGAAAGAGTTGAAATACTGAATGGATAAATAGTTGAACTGTCAATACAAACTTGCTGAATATCCACTTAATATCTATGAGAACGTATTTGGAACATGGCGGTGGTGAAGAGGTGCTTGAGCTTGTCCGATATGGTCGACAGTGTGCATCAGACAAAGCAGGTTGAGAACCACAGTACACATAAAGCTTTGACGATGTTGCTGCTCGTCCACACTGGTGTGCAGCTGTCCTTCCCCAACATGGTTTGTTTACATTTCTCAGTCACCCACAGGAGCACTGTAACGCCTGTAGCACCACCGGCCTCCAACCGCAGAGCCTCGCCCCTATGAACCGCCAGGCCGGGTTCTTTCAAAGCCATGACTCAAATCTCTCGCAGCTTAACAAAGTGAGCAGTGAAAACAGTGGTGTTGGTGGTTATCTCACAGGTGAGGGCAATTACAGCTGACATCTCAATGCTCAGACAGACAGCTGGAAACCCGACACTGACTACAGTAGACAAAAAGTACAGGTGAGAGTGATTGTGTTGAAACTCAGCAGGAGCAGACGAGTCGGAGAGACGCTTCCAAAGTGTTGTTCATTGTAACCGACGGACAAGTTTGAAGATTTATTAAAAAAACCCCCGGCGACATGAGATCACTGCAGCTGCAAACCGCTCAGCTGGACACTCGCAGAAAAAGTACCTACGTTTTGCACCGTAATGGGATTGGCGTCCCGGCCGCCTCACCCGCAACCTGGCATTCTGAGATCCTCTGTGTTGTTTAAAGGGCCTGTGGAATGTGGAACAAATCCCCTCAGCTTTATCGGCCTGGACGCGCTCCCCATTGGCCGGGCTTAAGAGCCAGGGGCCTGCGCGGGAGCTTACAGAATTTCACATGGAGGCCAGAAACAGAGGAACATCCTGTTTGAGTCCCACACCGGCTTTGATATGCCGTCGCCTTGTGCACTCGCTTCTTTCTTGTTTGTCAGGGTGTGTGCGCTCAAAACACTCTGTGCTGTGTGTCTGCTGTCGAGTTTTTTTTGTTTTTTTTTTGGTTTTAGCTCTAAAAAGACGGATGTGATTAGTTAGCTGAGAGAAAATTAAGTCATCTATGAATTTGCTTGTCCTCGTGTCGGAGATATTGTTTTCTCTCCCCTTTTTTTTTGTAGTAAGGGGAACATTTTGGGGGGGTTGTTGGTTTATTAGACAAAAAAAGAACTAATAACTGAACAATTTCTTCAAGAAATAGTCAATAGATTAATTGATGCAGATCTGCAGATTTTATGTGGATTTATGTAAGCGGTTAGTTTTAATTCTTTATACCTGAGCTGCAACATTTCATGGATTTGTTGTCAGCTGTTAAATTAATCGCCAACGAAATGGATTCATCGGTTTGAGTAATTTTTAAGGAGAAATGCTAAATTCTCTGGTTTCTTTCCTCCTCTTTGACGCTAAAACTGAATATCTGTAGGTTGAGGATAAAACAAGACATTTGTTATCTTGCGTTTTGGGAAACACTGATCATTTTTCGCCATTTTCTGACGTTCTATAAACCAAACAGCTAATCAAAGGAAATAATCCCCATTTATTTAACACAATGAACACTGAAGACCCTACAAGATTCACCATTATGTTCAAAAAGAAGGGAAAGGAGAGAAAATGAAACAAAATATGAGAAAATTAATAAAAGTAAGTGCCCTTGAACAGCATTTAACCTTTAAAACTTTCCTTTCCCATTAATGGTTGCATCCATCAGGTGGTTTCTTAGACTGGCTGAGGAGTATGTTTCCTCTTGAGGACAGTTTGATGTTGGTATTCAGTGTGCTGAGAGAAAATCCTGAATTATTTACCAATGTTCATCGTCCTTCTTCACTTTTAAGAAGCCTCCATATTAGCTCTCTGAACCTCAAAAGCTGCCGGTGAGTTTAAAGGGGAGGTTATCTTTAAAAAAGTGCCAAAAGTACACCATTTATCAGAGCCAGAAACTGTAAAAACAGAGAAAATATTCAAACTTTCCAGCAGTCCTCGATCAAATCACGTGTCATTCTGTTGAGGAAATAACTAAATCTAAGTTTAAAATGTAGGATATTTCATTGAAATCACTTTGTGCTACGTGTCTTGCTTAAAAAATTGCCGAAAAATAAAAATCTTTGCTTTCTGGCTTAGCTGCGTCTAAGAGTCACATGACAAAAATTCAGAGTTTATTCGGCTGAACTGCAGGCTGTGTTTTCACCGCAAAGAGGAGACGACGAGAAAATAAAACTTATCAATAAAACAAATGCAGCATGGCTCAGAAATGGTTTACATAGGAGAAAGTTGTTGAACGATACAGTCAGCATGGTGAAAAAATAAATAAAAAAATGACAGCTTAGTTGTAGAGGTTGTAAAAATGTAAATGGTCAAATATTTATAGCATATGGAGACTTTTTTCCAAGCATCAGTAACATCTGTGAACACTTAAAAGCTAAAAAGTAAAAAGTTGGACATGTTCATTCTAGGTTTTTTTATTGATATTATTTATAGCATTCTGACTGTTTCATACTGTACACCAGATATTTTTGTATTTTCCCTGCTTTAGCCATTATTGTGCTGTTTCCATAGAGGTGCACGACTTTATATTTACAGTAAAAAAAAAACAAATGGGCAAAGTGAGTAAAAATGTAACAGAAGCAAAAATCTGCCCTGAAACTGCTTGGAGCTGAAAGGGTTATCCAAGTCTATAGATTACTCAAACCAAGAATCTCTGGGGGAAAAAAAAAATAAATCAGTAAATGAAAAAAACAGGAATGCAAACGTTCTTTCCAGTTTCAAGGAATTCTTCTTCTAAGTGGTAAACAGCCCAGTCTTGAGGTATGGACTTGACCACGATGAGACCTCACCCTCTCAAGACATTCACGTCTTCACTTATTAAAATCGCAGAACAAAATAAAACAAAGAGACGGCATCACTGCTGACTGTTAAACGAACCCATTTCGCTAAACTTTTGTTCAAGCGGATCATTAAATGTTTGAGTGCGTATAACACATGGCGCTGGTCGTATAAAAGTCTATGCAGAGACTATTGCATTACACCACCATGCGCTGGTGGTGTAATGCAATAGGAAAGCTCTGTTACCAATGAATTAAAGCAGCATGGTCTCTGTGGTGCAGTCGTAACGTGTGTGGCACCAGCTTTTATAACTTACTTGAGGATTTTTTTCGTGTGTTTTGGAAATAGTGAACCGCCTCTTTGTGTTTTAGTAACTGATCTTGAGCTCATTATGATCCACCTTGTATATATTTTAATGCGTTTGCCGAACCCAGATTTGCGATCCAGTCACTGGTATGAAGCACATGGTCCCTACAGTAGCTGCCTGTGTGACAGCTGAGAGGGGGGCACTCCATTACATCAGACTCCTATCAAAGCCCACTTTAATGAAGCTGATTACAGCACTGGTGACAGATGCAGGGTGGCCAGCCAGCGATGCTAATCTTTGTTTATGCCGTCCAGCAGGTCATAATCAAAGTGAGAGAAAGATCAGTGATAGGGCGAGGAGGGGCGTGGAGGGGCGTGCAGAGTTTAGGAGATAGTCTCTGCTGATAAAAGGGGAGCGGGTGACTTTCAGCGGTGCTCTTACATAGACAGGCAGGCATGCTCATCCCTCAGCACAGCTGTTGTTATACTAGGACCGAAGAGGCTTCGCCCCAGTGATTCATGTCCTGCCAAGGGAGAGCTTTTGCCTCCTGTTTGACCTCAGAGAGAGTCCTGCTACCCTGAAAGGGCCATATCTGGGCCATCGCAGCCACATGGGGCTCGTCCAGATGACAGGATGGCATTCTGCTCTGATCTCATTTCCATTCATAGAAACACATGCCAGGGCACACTGATACATAGATAAAATACTCTAATTAGTAGACAAAGGCAAATTTTAGCCTCTAATTGTGTATTTTCATGCTGAACTTGAAAGTGCAAACTTTTAATGAGGGCTCTTGGCTCTGTTGTGATAATAGGGCATGGTTATAGCAGATACTGTGATCAGATGAACGATGTGAAGCAGGCTGACTTTAATTCAGCACCATGTAATATGCAGTATTGCTTGTTGAAATATTTTTATTGATCCTGAACAATTAGGCGACTTCAAATCAAACTTACAAGTTGAAAGAATGCAGTTAGCAAACTGCAAAGACTGGATTTAGGAGGTAGATGCAGTTAGTTTGTATTTTGCGCCTGTTGCGTTTTTGTTCAATGTACGCTAATTACCTTTACCTCTATGGGAAGAGGACAACTCTGACTAAAAGTAGAAAGACCTCAAAAGTGTCCTCCGTGCAGAGCGACATAGTTATAAAGCCACAAATCATAGAAAAGGTTGAATTTCTTTGATTATTTACTTCATGACAAGTGTAAAAACCTGGAATCAACATGTGCAACATTTCTCAAGTGCCCACAAGTGTTAAAAATAAGAGAAAAAGAAATGGGAGCTCTAATATTTAGTCACTTACATTTTAAATTTGTTTTCGGACTTGTTTCTCATCCACACTGTCGAAACACAGCCTGCAGTTCAGCCGAATGGTCCCTGAATTTTCGTCACATGACTGTTGGTGGAAGCTCAGGTGGTCATGGCTTCTTGGTTGCATCGAGGACCATGGAATTTTTAGTTTTTTACAGAATTCATTTGGTGTAAATCATACATTTTTTAAAATCAAATTTTCAATACAAAATAGTGTTATGAATTAAATATGACAATTTTAAGCTTAGGTCTGGTTAGGTTTTCTGACCCGACACTACGTCACAGATGAGTAGTTCAAGGATCATCAGAAAGTTAAATATCCAGTGATTCTTTGTGTTTTCTAAACAGTTTCATTTTGACAATTAAGATAAAATAAAACAACGACAATGTGCCCTTTAAACCCACCAACAGGTTTTGGGAATCAGAAGGTTCAATAATGGGAATAATGCTGTTATTCAATTTTATTCAATTCGAGCAGATTGTCCACTGATCAACATATACTAGATGGTTCAGGCATGTCAACTGTAGTCCGACTGATATAAGCCCAGTTTTATTATTTAATAGACACCTTATAGGTTTTGCAGCGTGTCTCTTCCAGGGTTTAAATTCACACTATCACCATTTTGATGGTGTCTCATCACACGTTCTGAATCTCTTCCAGAGTGAATACTGAACTGAAGCTCGACTTAAATTATCTCGCAAATGAATGTC